TCCATAAGAAGCAGATCGTTTCTGAGTTGCCTCGTATTTAAAAATAAAGGCAAAGAAGGAGTCTAAAATTTTATAACCCTGCTTTGCCTTTATTTTTAAATACCACCTTTTTGTACTGGGGATTGAGCCCAGGAGCTCTTTAGCACTGAACTGCACCCCCAGACCTTTTTATTTTTATTTTGAAACAGGGTGCTGCTGAATTTCCCAGACTGTGCAAGCTGTAGTGCCCAGAAAAGTGCCTCACAGTCTTAATGACTAAGTCCTGAGTGCGTGGGGTGAAGATGTCCCAGAATGGGAGAAATGGGACCTGCTTTTAGAAAAATGCAAATCTCATATGGGTTTTTAAAAGAAGATAAATTCATTTGACTTAGTTTTGCCAAGTTTCCACAGAAAATATTTTTAAGGTAGAAATTGATGCAGTGATAAAATCATGGCATTCAGAGGTAAATGGATAGCATTGGAGAAGATAATGCTAAGTGATTAGCCAATCCCAAAAGAACAAATGCCAAATGTTTTCTCTGATATAAGGTGATTGACTCAGAATGGGCTAGGGAGAGGGAGCATGGGAGGAACAGATGAATTCTAGATAGGGCAGAGGGGTGGGAGGGAAAGGGAGGGGGCAGAAGATTAGCAAGATGGTGGAATGTGATGGACATCATTATCCAAAGTACATGTATGAAGACACGAATTGGTGTCAACCTGCTTTATATACAAACAGAGATATGAAAACTTGTGGTATATATGTGTAATAAGAATTGTAATGCATTCTGCTGTCGTGTATTTAAAAAAATAAAATCAATTAAAAAATAAATTGATGCAGTGAAGAATACTGACACACTGCAAAATCAGAAAGAATTCCACCTTCGATGTCCTGGTTGTGTGAGGCTGCTGGGTGGAAGGGAGAGACCCACAGATACCTGCAACAGCCGCCGTCCACCTTCCTGAAGGCCTCCTGTTTCTCAGGCTCTGTCCATGTTGTCTCTTCACAGAACAGCTCCCCCATGATGTCCCTTTTGTGGTCACCTCCTCCTAACCCCTGGAAACCACAGTCTGTTCTCCATCTTTACAGCTTGGCCCACCCAGGAATATTCTCCAAGTGAATTACACTGTACATGACCTTTCATCAGGATTTGAGATCCTCTGATCTCCATTTACTGGGTTTGCCTTTGAGATCCAAAGGCTGTCTGCACATGAACCTGTTATGGACATTAGCAGTGGTTCCAGTTTCCAGTTTTCAAAGATAAAAATGCTATGAATATTCACATACTTTTTCATAGGAAGGTAATATTTTGTGGTGTTTTTGTTTCTGTTTTTTGCTTTGCTTTGTTTTTCTGTTTGAGGGGCTTTTTGTTTGTTTGTTTGTTTGGCACTGGGAATTGAACCCCAGGGCCCTTAACCACTGAGCCACATCACTAGCCCTTTTTATTTTTTGAGACAGGATCTCACTAAATTGCTCAGGGTCTCGATAAGTTGCTGAGGCTGGCTTTAAACTAGGGATCCTCCTGCATCAGCCTCCTGATTACAGGTGTGCATCACCACGCCCAGCTGGGAAGGTACATTTTTGCACCTCTGGGATGAATGACCAGGAGTATGAGCATCAGGTCATGTTGCAAGTTTATTTTTAGTTCCATAAGAAACTGTCAACATGTTTTCTAGAACATTGCACCATTTTGCATTTCCACCAGTATTTAAAATTTTTCCCCTTTATAGTGGATGTGAGGTGGTTGTTCATTGTGGTCTTTATTTTTGGTCTCATAAACACTCCTGATGTTGAACACCTTTCAAGTGCTCATTTGCTACCTGTACATCCTCTTTGGTAAGGTGCTGCTTTCACCTGTACTGGGTTGTTCTTCCTGTTCAGTTTTGAGAGATTTACAAAAACTTGTGTATGATGGTATATTTTTTCCATGTATTTGCATACTTGAGATAATAGTTCCAAGTCAGATATGGGATGGGCAAATATTTTCCCCAAAAAGTTTTAAGTTTTGACCAAGTTCCATTTATTGATATTTCCCTTTATGCTCTGTGTTTTAGGTGTCATATCTCCAGGTCATAAATGTTTTCCCCAACCTTTTCTTCTAGAAGATTTATGGTTTTACATTTCATAGTTGATCCATTCTGATTTCAAATTTGTACAAAGGATGAAGTATAGTTATTTTTTCTGGCACAGGAATGCCTCACTCCTCCACAATGTCTACTCAGTGAGCAGACAATGCTTTCCTCTATGAATTGCCTCTGCACTTTTGTCAAAAATCAAATGGCCCCAGGATGTGGCAGTGCACACCTATAAGCCCAGAGACTGGGGAGGCTGAGGCAGGGGGATCGCAAGTTCAAAGCCAGCCTCAGCCACTTAGCAATGCCCTAAGCAACTTATCATAACCTTCTCAATATAAATAATAAAATAAAAAGTCCTGGGGATATGCCTCAGTGCTTAAGCGCCCCTGGATTCAATCCCCCATACCTAAAAAAATCAAATGGCCATAGTAGGGTGGGTCTATTCCTGGTTTATCATGTTCTACTGATCCATACGTCCATCTGTTTCCTAGTCGTTAACCCTGTCTTTTTGAGAGTGGCTTCACAGTAATTCTAAAAATCAGGGAGTGCAAGTCCTCGGATATTTTTCCTTTCCAACATGTTCTGTTCTGGTTTGACTCACCTTTCCCTACACATTTTCGAATTCACTTGTTTGTGAATTTTCCTTCATTGGAGTTGTGCTAAATCCATAAGTCAATGTAGGGACAAAGCCATTGTCATCTATATCCATTTCAGGAGGTTATCACAAGGAAGTCTCTCCCTGCCACCCCACCAATGGGGCAGGTACGGGGACTCAGCTGCAGGATGTAAACTGCCTGCCTGCAGCACAGAGTGGCTTAGGTGACAATAAAGTGTCCCATTACTCTCACTGCAGTCATGGGGACCCTTTGGTTTGAGTATCATCCTGTGTAAGGGACATGGGGAGCTGGCTCTGGGGCTCATCTTGCTTTCTCTATGAAGTAGTAGACTCTGACTCTACAGAGGGTGCGCTGGTTTTACTGGCCCCAGAATCTATCAGCCTGGACTCTGGCTTGGCTGTAGGTTCCATGCGACTCTCCACACAGACACTTCAGTTAGAGGTTAATTCTCCTGCTGATCGTCCTTATTATTTTCCTCCACAGTCAGTTCTGTCCACCTGGGAATTTCTCTTTCATGTGGTCATGAACTTCTGGGTTGCCCTCATGAATGTGGCATCAAGCTAATTAGCTAAGACGGAAATGAGCTGTTTTCCCAGAACTGTTCTGTATAAATGGGGTAGTGGGACAGGGTGTGCTTTTTTATTATTTTTTTATTCTAAAGAATTTTTTTAGTTGTAGATGGACACAATTCCTTTATTTTAGTTATTTATTTTTTTATGTGGAGCTGAGGATCGAACTTAGTGCCTCACACGTGCCACGTAAGAGCTCTATCACGTCTACCACTGAGTCCCAGCCCCAGCCCCAAGGGGTTCTTTACAGGCAGCTCTCCTGTTGGGTGCAGGGGCCAGGAGAAGCCTTGACACCCTCACAGACACCCCTGCAGAGGAGGAGGGGAGGGCAAGGCTTACCTGTGTGGCAGATCCCCCACATACTAAATATCCAGTTTAAGGAGGAGGAGGAGCAGGGGTCTCTCTGAGGTTACACAGCACTTCTGTGACTCCTTCCCCTCCCCCCACTTTTCACTGTGACTCAGAGGAAGCCCCTGGAGAACAAGGTGGGGGAGGGGCACCTGTCATAACCCTCCAGGTGATGGCTCCTCACACTCAGTACTCATCACACACATGCTAATGACAGTGACAAGAAAATAAGAGTAAAAAAATATGGATGGGGCATTTCTAGGACAAGGAATTGTGCAAATGAAGATGCTGTCCTCCCTTGTGCTCTGTGTGGGAGACCAACCTTGCACTTGACTGAGTTACACCCCGCCCCCTGGGTGATGAGGGGTTGGGCAGCAGCCATGCCATATTTTCCCTGCCCTTCTAGGGTTTGCGTGACTGTATCTTCCTGCATAGGTGTGCCTTCCTGCAGCCCCAGGGGTGGAGCTACGCTCACCTCTTCCTTTATGATATTACCCCTTGCCCTGTTTAGGATAGAATGTTCCATGGAAACACCCTTTGTGTGTCCCCTCCTCTTACTGTGCCCTTGGGTGTGGCCTACCCAGGTGTTAGTCAACCTGCTGACAGTGGACATCATGAAGATACTCAGCCCCTGAAACCTGACCCCTTGCCTCATTGGAATAGCTTCTCCTCAATAAAAGGGGTCAGCACGTGTGCAAGCTCTCTCTCTCTCTCTCTCTCTCTCTCTCTCTCTCTCTCTGTGGACCCTTAAGTTCAGAGGAGCTTCCACAGCGACCCCAAAAGAAAAAGGTATTGTGTCTCTTGTGTGGTTATTTCACACAGCCCAGTCAGCCCAGTTCCCCTGGAGTGACCCCTGAGTGTCTTAGTCATGAGCAACCTGGCAATTGGCATCCCTGGGTGGGCAAAAAGGTCTCAGTGCTTAAGCCACAGGGACAAAAGCTGCAAAGGGACAAAAGCCACAGCTCTGTGAACCCCAGAGCTCTATCCTGACTCTCTGTTCCTTTTTTGTTCTCCCTGGCCTCTGCTCTTCTCTACTCTAGGCTGAAACTTCATAATCCTCCCCAAATACCTGAAGAACTCTACATAGCTCAGATGGAGAAGTGGACTGAGTTGCGGGTGAAGAGAGCCCTTGAAACTTCCAGGATGAGGAGCATGGGAAGCCTAGAAACAGCCAGTGGTTGGTGGGAAGTTTGCACACAAAACTGGGGTTCCCCTGGCAGCACTAAGAAAAGTCACGTGCCAGAGTCACATTTTTGAAGAGTGTTCAGGATGGCAATCAATTTGAAAACTGATATGTGGTTTTATATGCAGATCCTTGTGCCCAGCCCTTCCCAGAAACAACACTTGTAATTCAAGATGGGAGGGCCTCACTTTAGATTCCTCCCCTTTATAAACCACTGCCAAAGGTCCCAGACAGTTCTTTTGCTGCTCTGCCTCCCCCTGCTCTGCAGCTGAATTAGAACCATGCTGCCCTTAATTTTGGTAAGGAGACTCCAGCCCCAAGTTGAGCCTAAGCGTTCTCTCACCCCTTTGTTCCTCTGAACCTCAAACTCAGTTCTCTCCTCTGTATTCAGTTCTCAGCTTCCCACCTGGCAATCATCCCTGTCTTTCCTGACTGCACTGCAACCCTCTGTCCACCTGCAAACTTCAGAAGCCTCACATTTTCAAGAGCCCTCCCTGCATTTCCTCACCTGCCAGCCCTGACCCAGGACCTGCCCCCACAGCCTGTCTCAATTCCACTCTGAGTGGTTAACAGCAATCAAACTCGGTGACATCACCCTGAGCTCCACAACTGTGCTCAGACTGCTCCTTTCCCACATTCTCATTCTCATTCTCGTTCCCCTTCTTCTCAGCTGCTGTCTTCATCGTTGAACTCCTGGGCTTATGGGACCCAGAAGGAGTCAGAGGTGAGACCAGGTATGGTGAGGAGGAGATGCCACTGGTGGTGGGAAGGCGTGTCCTACCCTGGCCCTTTGAGCCCACCCAGCTCTGACTCTTCCAGACACTGGCCCATGGCTGTGCCAGCCAGCACCGAGGTGTGGGGACCAGACCTACAACCCCTTGGAGCAGTGCTGTCACAATGACACCATCCTGCCCCTGAATGCGACCCAGCTGTGTGTCCCCAACTGCATCTTCTATCCCTGCTTCCAGCACTGCTGCCTGGAGTCCCTGGGCTCTCAGAACCAGGCAGTTGTGACATTCAAGGTCCCAGGCATGAAGCCTGACTGCAGGTCCTCCCCCGTCTCCAGGATTTGTGCCCAGGTAAGTCTGTGATTCTAGCCCAGGCTGGGGGAGGGGGCAGCAGGGGACAGAGCTTGGTTGAGGCTGTTTTTTATTTATTTTGGGGGTCGGTGCCAGGGATTAAACCCAGGGGTCCTAACCACTGCTCCACATCCCCAGCCCATTTTTATAGTTTATTTAGAGACAGGTTCTTGCTGAGTTGCTGAGGCTGGCTTTGAACTTGTAATCCTCCTGCCTCAGCCTTCTGAGCTGCTGGGATTACAGGAGTATGGGCATCGCCAAGCTCATTGCATCTTCTTTTGAGGCTCCACTTCCAATCTCTGAGCAATCATGTGACTCTTCTTCAATTTTCCCTGTTACCCCCTGTCCCCTCCCCGCTGCCCCTCTGCTATCTCCCTTCCTCTTTCTGCAGGAACACCACCCGACCAGCCCTCAGCCAGATCTGACTTCATCTGGACCATCCTGGGGAGTGGAATCTGGTATCTAGTCATCTGTCATGCTGAGATTTTTAATTATTGCTATGGTCTGAGTGAGTCCCCAAGTTCCTGGGGTGAAATCTTAATTCTTCAATGCTAGAGTGACCGTTAGAGATGGGAACATTTGGCAGGAAGTGGGAATATTAAGGTCATAGGGAGTGGAGTCATCATGAATGTAGTATTTGTACCCTCTGGTAGGAGAGTTCTCATTCTCACTGGATTTATTACCTTGCGAGTGGGTTGTTATAAACCAAGGCTGTTCCTCATGCTCTTTTTTTTTTAATGTTATACTCCATGTACATATACCTTTATTTATTTATATTCATATGATGCTAAGGATCAAACCCAGTGTCTCACATTTGCTAGGCAAGCACTTTACCACTGAGCTACAACCTCAGCCCCTTCTCATGCTCTTTATATTTTGAATGCGCCCACTTGCCCTTCCATCTTTCACAAGGAGTTGAGGTAGCATGTGGCCCTCTCCAGATGTTGCTGTGTGATCTTGGACTTTCCAGACTCCAGAAGCATGAACCAAAAAAAAATTCTTTCCTTATAATTTACCCAATATTAGGCATTTTGTTATAGCAACAGGCTCCTTGGGGCCACAGGTGGCCAGGTAATGCAGGGAGGCATTCCTTTGACACCACACAGGTTGGCTACATTGGCCCTCTACCGAGGGCAGAAGGGGTCATATTTGCCTTGACAGCAGTGAATACGGCTACATGGTTGGGTTTGCCTGGCCCTGTGGTCAAGGGAATCAGTGTGTTACAATTTGTGCCCTGATGGTGTCGACAGCCTTGTACGACCAGCCCATCACAATAGAAAGTGACAAAGGGACAAATTTTACAGGTCAGGATGTACAGCAATGGGCAAATCAGTTACAGATTCAATGGAAATTGTACCTCCCATGCCACCCACAGGCTGCAGGCAAGATAGAGAAATATGATGTCCTGCCTAAGCAAGGACATGGGACTGCAGGGAGCCCACCTTCTATGAAGGGTGGGCACAGTACCTGTGGGAGGTTGTGAGAGCTCATAGTGAGTGTCCCCGATGAGGGGGACCAGCTCCTGTGGAGGCTTTGCTGCATCATACAGCAGCACCAATACAGGTCCAGGTGACAACTTAAGCCTGGGTTTGGGAAGCAAAGATATGTCCCTTCCTGCTCCCACTGGATTAAATAGGGGCAAACTGAAGTGGACATGGCCCTGGATTATAAAGGCCATCTTTGTTGAGTAGCCCTGTTACCCCATGGACAAGAGGTTTGGAGGGTGATCTCCTTGTGACACCAGGATAATTAATGAATGCCGCCCCCCACCCCAGGTACGTGTGACTTAGCCAGGTCCCACAGATGGGATGCAGATTTTAAAGGGCATGTTTTTTTTTATTTCCCCTTGGCCAATTTCCCAGTGCTGGTGCACACTGAACCTGCCGAAGTACAGGACCAAGCTGTTTAAGTGTGACATTGCCACCCAGGGAAGCCACCACAGATGGCCACTATGCTTTCCTGGGACTCAAAACTAGCATGCATTCTCCCAGTTGGACATGATTTACCTGAGCTAGTGCCTGTAACTTCTTTGACCTTTCAACTGTATGTGTGTCCTCACCAATACCATTGTGACACACATCTATGCCAGACTAACAAGCACCCACTGGGTATGCACCACAATGCCTGTGAGTTTTGCCATCAGACTACCCTGGTGAATCCAGACTATATCCCTAGACAATTGGATGTGCCTGGGAAAGACTTTTATTGCCACCTCAATATGGGATGAAACTGGCAATGGTTTTTAGTAATCCTAGGTGGTAAGGCGTATCTTCTGGTTGTATGTTGTGAGAGCTTATATCGTTGCTGTGGCCTCTGGACGCAGGGCTCTGCCTCCTCACTAATGGAACTTTGCGGAAGAGCTCAAACACATAGACTGTACGGTGAGGATCCTATGAGGTAGATTGTAGGGCAAGTCCAAAATGGTTATAGTCAGGCTCCCTCGCCAAGACTTCTGGCAGGCTAGGTTTTTACTGCGTACTCAAGACCGTAAACACTGGCTGGTGAGCATGAGCCCCCTGATGTAACTTGTTGGCAGTGTGCCTTCTTTGTCTAGCCTGCATATTAAAAAATCCTATGGGAAAGATTCAGAGTGCTACATGGGACTGGTTGGGCACTGAAGATGGAGCTGGAGGGTGGCTACTGCTGCTGCTGCCTCTGAATAAAGCATGTGTACTATTCCAACTATGTCTTGCATCTTCTTCTACTTGCCAAGATCCTGAATTTTTTTTTCCCCTGGGTCTGATCTTCCACTCCAACAGGCTGATAATGTTCCATCCATCCATTTCCCTTCAAATGACATAATTTTATTTTTCTTTATGGCTGTGTATATATATATATACCACATTTTCTTTGTTCATTCATCCATTTACAGACACCTAGGCTGGTTCCATAGTTTGGCTATTGTGAATTGTGCTGCTGTAAACCTGGGTATTCGTGGATCACTTAAAATATGATCACTTAATTCTTCAGGATAAATACTGAGAAATGGTATAGTTGGGTCTTAGGGTTGCTTACATGCCTAGTCTTTCAAGGAAACTCCATACTGATTCCCCTGGTGGCTGTACTAATTAACAATCCCACCAACAGTGTAAAAGCATTCCTTTTTCTCCACATCTTCTCCAGCATTTATTATTATTTGTGTTCTTGATGACTGATATTCTGGCTGGTATGAGATGAAATCTCAGTGTAGTTTTGATTTGCATTTCCCTAATTGCTAATGATGTTGAACAACTTTTCATATATTTGTTCATCTGTATTTTTTCTTTTGAGAATTGTCTAATTCCTTTGCCCATTTATTAATTGGGTTATCTGATTTTTTAGCATAAAGGTTTTTTTAATTGTTTATATATTCTAGATATTAATCCTCTGTCAGAAGACTAGCCAGCAAAAATTTTCTCCCATTCTGTAGTTACTCTCTTCACATTCCTAATTGTTTCCTTTGCTGTGCAGAAGCACTTTAATTTGATGCCATCCTATTTATTAACTCTTGGCATTATTTCCTGAACATGAGGTGCCCTATTGAGAAAGTCATTGCCTGTGTCTACCTGCTGGAGTGTTGACCCTAAATTTTTTAAGAGTTGCATAATATCTGGTGTATTCCTAGGTCTTTTATCCATTTGAATTGATTTTTATTTGGGGTGAGGTACTGTTATTCCAGTACTTTCCTTTTTTTTTTTTTTTTTGTACAAGGGATTGAACCCAGGGGCACGTAACAACTAAGACACATCCCAGCCCTTTCTTATTTTTTTATTTAGAGACAGGGTCTTGCTAAGTTGCTTAGGCCTAGCTAAGTTACTGAGGCTGGCCTTGAACTTGCGATCCTCCTGCCTCAGCTTCCCAAGACACTGGGATTACAGGTGTGCACCACTGCACCCAGCTCCAATACATTTTTTTAAAAGATGTCTTTTCTCCAATGTATGTTGTTGGCACCTTTTTCAAGTATTAGATGACTGTAGATGTGGGTTGTCTCTGTGTTTTCTATCCTTTTTTAAATTTTTTAATTTGTTCTAATTAGTTACACATGAGAATAGAATGAACTTTGATACATCATATATAATGGAGTATAGTTTCTCATTCTTCTGGTTGTTCATAATGTGTGTTTCTATTCTGTACCATTGATCTATGTGCCTGTTTTTATGCCAACACCATGCAGTTTTTGTTACCAAAGCTCATGTACTGTGAAGTCAGGTGTTGTGATGACTACAACATTGCTTTCTTGGCTTAGAATTGCTTTAGCTATTTTGGGTCTTTTATTCTTCTAAATGAATTTTAGGACTGTTTCAAAATTCATAATTAGAACTGTTTTGACAGATATATAATATATTTTATATATTTGTATGTTAAATATACATTTATATATTAAATATATTTTATTATATATATATATATATATATATATATATATGGTGTTTTAATGTTTCATCTGAAATCTATGGTAACTTGTTGACTATGGTAACAAGAAACCAAAGTGGTTTCATAATTTGTATGTAATTTGAAACATTATTTGCACACCAAGCATTGGGGTCCCCACAACCATAGTCCCAACTGAAAGAACGATCAAGGCTTGCCGATGGAGAAAAATGCCTGTTTATTTATTTTTTTTATTTTTTTTAAAGAGAGAGAGAGTCGAGAGAGAGAGAGAGAGAGAGAGAGAGAGAGAACTTTAGTATTTATTTATTTATTTATTTATTTATTTATTTTTTAGTTATCGGCAGACACAACATCTTTGTTTGTATGTGGTGCTGAGGATCAAACCCGGGCCACACGCATGCCAGGCGAGCGCACTACCGCTTGAGCCACATCCCCAGCCCCAAAATGCCTGTTTATTGAGGAACAACTCTGCATATTTATAGAGCCCAGGGTGGTTTGACAGTTGGTATGGGGTGCTTTTTGATTGGTGGGTAAGGATCATGTGAGCCAGCAGGGCTCACCATTGGACAGCTCTTCTTAGGGGATGGGGAAGTTAGTCTTTGGAGCCAGGGCAACACCCAACACCAGCTATTTGGGAGGCTGAAGAGGGAGGATTGCTTGAGCCCAGGAATTCAAGCCAACCTGGGCAGCATAACAACATCCTGTCTCAAAAAAGAAAAAATCTAAAAGATTATTTCCTGGGCTGGGATTGTGGCTCAGCAGTAGAGCACTTGCCTGGCATGTACAAGGCCCTGGGTTTAATCTTCAGCACCACATAAAAATAAATAAATAAAATAAAGGTATTGTGTCCAACTACAACTAAAAAATAAATATTTTTTTTAAAAAAGATTATTTCCTTTATATTTGTAACTTCAACCTTCAATTATAAGGAGAGTTTCATTTTAAAATTACCTTCCTTATTAGTAGTAGGTTCATTCAACATTTATATAAAAACAGTGCCAAATCTGATGATGATGATGATGATGATGATTTTAATTTCCATTTCTGACCCTGTGAACATTTGCTTTGCAATGTTGCAGCAATTTCAACCAGAGGTTCTAAATATTTTGAAGAATTCTCAAAATTCCCTGTATGTTTTATTGCAAATTACACATGTATGATTTAAAATCAACTTTATAAAAGTATGGTTTACCTTTAACATTTTAATTGAACATGTGAATATGCATTGATAAATTGACTATACCAGTGCAATGTACCACCACAATCAAGATAGAATATCTTACATTACCCTGAAAAGCTCCCTGATGTTTCCTTATAGTCAATCCCCTCTCTCAACCTCAGACTCCAGGAAAACACATTTGATACTGCTCACTATAGATTAACATGGTACTGCAGTAAAAGACACATCAACTAATGAAAAGGATAGAAAGCCCAAACAAAACACCAAGGACTTATAATTCATTGATTTTTGACAAAGCTCCCAAGAACTTACGGGGGAAAGGACAGTCTCATCAATAAATGCTGCTGGAAAAGCTAAACCTTTATCTCACACCATATATTCAGAATCAACTCACAATAGATAAAGGACTCCAATGTAACACCCAGGACTGTAAAGAGAAAACATGGGGAAAAGATCCACAACACTGATCTGGGCAATGATTTTTTTTTTATAATACTCCCAAAGCACAGGCAACAAAAGCAAAAACAGACAAGAGAGTTTGCATCACAATAAAAAAAAATCTATACTGTAAAGAATTAGCAGAGTGAAGAAACAATCAATCCCCAGATTGGGAGAAAATATTTTCAAATTATGCTTCTAATAAGCAGATAATACCCAAAATATTAATAACTCCATAGCAAGAAAATAATAATCTGGGCCTTTTTTCAATATTTTTTTTAGTTTTGATGAACCTTTATTTTATTCATTTATTTATATGCAGTGTTGAGAATTGAACCCATGCCTCACACATCTCGTGAGGCAAGTGCTCCACCACTGAGCCACAACTCCAGCCCCTGGGCCATTTTAATTGGTTGGTTTTTTTGCTTATTGATGAGTTTTAAAATTTCTTTGTATAATTTTAATAACTGTTTCTTACCAGATATGTGTTTTGCAAATATTTTTCCTAGTCTGTGGCTTGTCTTCCCAACCTCTTAACATCTTTTTCACAGAACAGAACACTTATTTTTAATGATTTTTGACTGTTCTCAGTCATTTCTTGCATGGATCATGACTTTGGTGTTGTATCTAAAAGTCATCACCATACCCAAGGTCATCTAGGTTTTCTCCTATGCTGCCTGGTAAGAGTTTTATAGTTTTGCATTTTATATTTAGAACTATGATCCACTTTTATTTAATTTTGTGAAGGATGTGAGGTCTGTATATATGAATGGCCACTTGTTCTACCACCGTTTGTTAAAAACCCTATCATTGCTTCATTATATTGCCTTTGCTCCTTTATCAAAGATCAATTGACTGTTTATGTGAATCTATTTCTGGGCACTCTATTCCATTCCATTTGTCCATGTCTCTGTTCTTTCACCATTATCACACTTTGTTGATTACAAGCTTTATAACAAGTCTAGATATCAGAGTGTCGATTCTCTATTCTTCAGTATTACGTAGGCTATTCTGGATCTTATGCATCTCCATAATAAACCTTAAAATTAGTTTGTCAACATTGACAAGATTTCTTCCTGAAGTTCCACTGAAGCTATGGATCAAGTCAGGAATAACTGATATCTTGATAATATTGAACTTTTCTATCCATGAACATGGGATACTTCCTCTGTTTACTTACTTCTTCTTTACTTTCATTCTTCAGAATTTTGTAGTATTCCTCAATAGATATTATGTACATTTGGTTAGATTTATTTAAAAGGTATTTCATTTGTGGAAGTTCTAATATAAATTATATTGTTTTGCATTTCAAATTGTACTTGTTTATTGCTAGTCTGTAGGAAAGCAATTGTCTTTTGTCTATTAACCTTATATTCTACAACCTTGCTATAATCACTTCTTAGTTCTATTAGGGTTTTTGGGAGTTTTTATTTGTTTTTGTTAGTTCTGCTTAATTTTATATATACAAAATCATGTCATCTGTGAAAACTACAGTCTTATTTCTTCCTTCCCTGGGGAACATTCCAGATCCAAACTATAGCACTCATCCCCAGATGGTTCATGTCCATCTCACAATGCAAAATGCATTTATTCTATTCCCAGAGTCTTCAAGTTTTGACTGTTCTATTGTTGCTCAAAATTCCAAGCCCAAAGCCTCCTCTGAGACTGAAGACAAACTCAGCTGTGAGTTCCT